ATCGGTTTAAATGTCATTCTCACCATTACGTTAACAGTTCGAATCTGAACTCCTTTGCTAACACTTACAAGTTCGAAATAAATACTCGACATGTTAGTTCATTTATAGGCGTACGTAAAACTGCACTTAGGATCGTTGCGCTCTAATAATCGGGCTAACTCTAGATTACACAGAGTTACAAGGGCTCTCATCTCTGATAGTAATGGGGGTTCGGCGAGGTATGGTATGGGTGATTGAAACTGTAAATTCAACACTGAAGATCTACTGAGAAACAATCACAATCTAGCCAAAGGTATTAAGCACGCAATTGCTTAATGCCTTCAGCGCCGAAAACAGCATCATCGGGAAGGTCCTGAACAGAAGCACAGATGAACACAACGACCAGCTAACCATGGACGGCAGAAAACTTCAAGCCTTCAAATCACTATTGGTACCACCGAATAAATACCACTATAGGAGTTTTACCACCCTAGTAATATGAAAAACACTAGTGAAAAGCATATCACCGCGAATATCGCGTTTTTCACCGAGTATTACGCCACTTCGCGTAAAACAGGTCGTGAAACTCCATAAAACTCACTCGCACTACATAGAATCCAAACCAAGAGAAATCACGAATGCCGAATTTCTATGATCGGAAAATGTGTTGTAGTTTTCTTACCTTGAAGTACTGGAGTCTATGAAAATCAGGCGTGACCTCATCACTTGTGTCAGGAAACGCCGCAAAGTATTTCCTCTCTTCCTCCTCACCATGAATGTGGTAACTGTACGAATTACATTTCCCACAACCTAGTTTAAAATGCATTTCACGACTACTACATATCACCGCGAATAAAATCACGTTTTTCACCGAGTTTTACGCAACGTAAAACGGGTCGTAAAACTCCATTGTATAGGACGCAAAATGCACATAATTTCATCTACAACATAGTTCATTACGAGTGAACTTCTTACCAGTTGAATGAAAACATAGACTTTGAATTTTCCCTTGGAGCCGGGAGAAACTTCTTAGGTAGTCGCAGAGTCGACATCCAATGACCATCTGAACAGAAAACATCTTTACCTATCCACTTTGAGACCAAACGATTATGGTGGGGTAAAAATATCCGGAACCGCGAGGAATTTCTGGATTAGTAAAAACTGGAGACACGCTAGTAGAAACATGATCGATCAAGCGAGATTAACATCTGACTTTTCGCATACAACGATTATTTCGACGATTATGGACGCATCGTCGTCGGAATAAATTTCCCTGAATGTTACCAACGATGTCAGTTGAAGGAGGCACAGGCAAGCAGACATCATCGTTGGTCGCTTTACGCGGGGCTTCGAATGTCAGAATTAGGAAGTTCCCGAATGGGGAAAGTTCAATCTGACAGAAGAAAATAAACGACATCACTTTTCCCCTTCACACGTGGAGAATTTTAGAGTGAAGTTGAATTTTATGATTATCAGCAGTGTTGTCGGAATATATGTCCGCTGCCCTCAGCTGAGCTCAGAAGTTTCTTGAGCTAGTTATGGAAATTCACATAAAAATTCGAGTAGAAGTGTACAATAATTCCTTAGAATTTACACACTGTGACCAACACGTGTAGTTGACCACAGCGCGGAAAAATATGGAAATTCTGAAAAAGTTTTGGAAAATCTTGGGGAAATTTTTGTATACTTCTACCCTTATTCGTATAATGAGTAAACTCCTGAGCTCAGGTGAGGAAAGCGATAACATATATTCCTACTCCAACACTGTATAGGAAACTCCTGAGCTCATGTGCTGAGGAAAGCGATTACATATATTCCTACTCCAACACTGTATAGGAAACTCCTGAGCTCAGGTGCTGAGGAAAGCGATTACATATATTCCTACTCCAACACTGTATAGGAAACTCCTGAGCTCAGGTGCTGAGGAAAGCGATTACATATATTCCTACTCCAACACTGTATAGGAAACTCCTGAGCTCAGGTGCTGAGGAAAGCGATTACATATATTCCTACTCCAACACTGTATAGGAAACTCCTGAGCTCAGGTGCTGAGGAAAGCGATTACATATATTCCTACTCCAACACTGTATAGGAAACTCCTGAGCTCACGTGCTGAGGAAAGCGATTACATATATTCCTACTCCAACACTGTATAGGAAACTCCTGAGCTCAGCTGCTGAGGAAAGCGATTACATATATTCCTACTC